TTCCGGAAGAAAATGCAAAAATAACACTTAATAAAATCTGAAACAATGTCAGGGCTGTCAGAGAGGTACATTGGGGTTTGTGGTATTGGACAATTTTTCCTGCGGTATTTTGATAATTTTAATCTCAAATGCGGTAATGTCAGAACCTGTAGGATGCGGTTCTTACGTATTTTGGATGGTATTAGAAATTATCCTATAAGTTCTCCAACCTTTCCAAGGGTTTCCCAGTTTCCGATTGGACATTCCCAAAGAAACTTAGCTGTCGTGGGAATGGAAAACCTCAATTTTTTGTTGCAAACAGAAAACTAGGGCAAGTTATTTTTGTTCATTATTAGCCAATGTTACCTATTTTGATCATGTTGTCTAAATCGCAAATAATCTAACTTAATATTCATTAACAAATTCTTAATTGCTATACAGGCTCTAAACTTAACATACAGAGTAGTATTGGTATGACCTTGAGTTTCGACTCAGTATTGAAGTATTGTGGTATTTGCTGACTTTTTTCGCGATATTGTGGTATTCACTGAAATTTTTTGTGGCATGGCAGTGTTCAGAACCCCCAATGTTCCCCTCCTGTCACTAAGAGCTGTCACTATCAGTAGCTATTTTTGTTTTTCAAAAACTACCTACTTCAAAAATCAGTGACAGCTCTGGTTCTATCTACGCAGAAGTCATACCAAAAGAAAAATTAAATTAATGTGTCTTGTGTTGATGTGATCACATTAGTTGAATTGAAAAATTTAACATGGGCTAAGGGCATTAGAAACACTTACATACCCAGGGGATGAACTTAAGAAATAAAAAGAAGATTTTTTACGTACCTTGATAAGTTTGAGTGACTCCAGTGAAAGGCAACTGACTGCGTTCCACTGATGAAGGTGGCATGTCATGACCAGAGAAGGATTTGGCAACTGAAATGTTACACATTGTTTGCTATTAACAACTGCCTTGCAAAGTTGAAGTTGGGTGGCTGAGACATCCAGGAGCTTCCACTATTGGCAGCCAGCTCCTAGATGTAGACTGCTTCCATGGGTGGCAAATCCTGGCAACCCAGCCATGAGCCCCCACACGGAAGGGAAAAGCGGGCACCCATCATTGATATAATAGTGGAAAGAGAAGGGAGGAACAGGGGAGGAGAAACAACCTCTGAGCAGAGTCCCTGCACTCGAGACCTGGATGCTCGAGGAAAGTGCTGACAATGCAAAACTACTTGAATGCCTTGTGGCCCAAGAGCATGTGGAATCCTAGCGCATGCGCACATCTAAATGCTGCTGACTGCAAAGGCAAGACTTGCCCTCCTTCTTGTTGACTCCATCAAATTGCATTTAACTGCATTTAGCAGTAAAGATAACCAAACTCTTAGAGCTCTGTATGCACAATAAAAGCATAACACAGGTTTCACTCCTCAAAACAGGTAACTTTTGCTGTAGTGGTGGGACGATTTCACTCCATCACTCCTTCACTTCCTTTTAGACATTTGGAACCCTGGGTGGGGGAGGGGGGGGAACTCCCACATGAGAAGGTCAGGGATGCTCGTCGGAAAATTTGAATTTAACTTCTAAAGAAGACTAATGTGGGCATTACTCAAGCTTCATTAGACCCTAAAAGATACCACTTAAAACGGAATACACGTAGGTTTGACTGCTAGCCACTGCTCAAGAAAGGATCATGCATGCACTTGTAGACCCAACTTGTGTACTCAAGAGATCAGCAGAAAACAAATGAGAGCTTTTCTTACATTATTATTTCTTTGAGTGCACCCTATGGGATACTTTGACAGTTAACATTGGCAGCGATTTGTCATCAACACCCTAAGTGAGACCAGAATCCTTGATTTCTACTCGAAACGATGAGA